CATACACAACTGAAAATGATATTTCTTAAAATGCAAAATATCTACATCATTGAGGCCAAAGTGACCATTTTGATTTGAAGCAATCTAGTAACTGCCTATTAGCCAATGGTCCAGTGCATAGGGACTGAGTCAGGTCCACACTAAGACCTATCCAATCCGGAACCTGTTTCCTCTTTCTGCACCTTGACTGAGGTGCACACTGTTCTGCACCTTGACTGAGGGCACAGATTTACTCTAAGTCCCCATTAACTCCTAAGGAAAACCCAAACCTCCCCACAGACCCTAGAAGATGTGCCCAAAGAGCCCAAGAGAGAACATGCGTGTTGTGACTATTAGGTTACCTTCTCCCACATAACACGCTGCCTCAACACAATCTCCCCAGGGAGGTTCGCCACGTTCTTTGCTGTTGCCCACTGCTTCTGACAAGTGTTTTATTTATACAATAACTAGCTTGTGTTTTGCTTTTCTTAGCAAACCCAAAGATGTAATCCAATGAGGAGAAGCAAGGAAATAGGATAGTAACATATATTTGTTATTCTTCTAAATATGAATAAGAATTAACAAACCAACATTTCCTTTAAGAAACTCACACAGTACCAACTTTCTTCAGTGAGTAAAATAATCTTGAAAATTGAGGATACTCCTTAGTAAGTAAGAAACCCTTGGAACCATGGGTGCTAGGAGGGGGATCTACAAACACAATACACAGCAAAGTAGGGTAGATGACATTCTATTTTATGATTCTTGATAAATCAAATCATTCCATATCCAATCCCTTATCTATCTGTGGTTCCCAAATCTAAAAAAACTTCAGAAAATTGAAAATAAAAAAATTCCAAGTGTGAAGCAAACTCCTTTGTTGGCACAACCTAACACAAACTGACAGGAGGCTACTCATATAGTTTTTATTTGCTTCAGTGTGAAAAAAATTTTTTATGCAGAAATAGTCATGTGTTTGCTTATAGGGTACTGTTGCTGTAACCCCACTGAAAGTGTTACAATATCTATAATGCATGCAATGGATCTCACCTTTTCAAAAAACAAACAAAAAATCTGAATGCCAAATACATCTGGCCCAAAGGTTTAGGTAAGAGTCTTCTAATGAAAGTTGTTCAGATAGGACATTTTCTATCACTCCAACATCTCTTCTGTCCAGAATCCTGAGACAGCGCCTTACCTCAGTCTGAAGGATGGCAGCCCTCTGTTCTTTGGCAGTAAGAGACTCTTTAAGCACTTCAATGTGTTGCTTGCAATCTGAATTTTGATTGCTAAGGGTTTCAAGCTTTGTTTGTAAGGCAAGAAGTTCTGACTCCTTCTTTGAAAGTTCCTGCTTCAGCTGATCAATCTGTGAAACAACAAAATCGCAAGGGATTAGAAACCACTGCTCCTACTCCTTACATTTGACAACTACTGATTTCTCTCAATTTTCAATAGTCAGTGATCATTAATCCAACAGGGCAAGCAATGAGTATGCTTTAGAAGATGGCCATGGGAATCACGCAGTCTTAGGGTCCTGGACAAGGCTCTGTAAAGGTCGCTCAGTGTGTACAAAACAGGAACAGTAAGGTCAGCAGATTGCCTTCTGCCCCACTGAGGACCAAGGTTCACAAAGGAATGAAGGGTTCCTGGCCAAACCTACTCATCCATGAAAGCACCAAGTCTATTATCATCACAGTCCTCAGAAGAGCAAACAGGGAGCTAACATAGGTAGTTAACCCAAGACAACTCCACAGTGGAAATGATCATTCAAAGGCATCATTTGACAAAAGAATCCTCAAAGAGAAAAGAAAAAGAGAGAGAGAGAGACAGAGACAGAAAGAGAGAGAGAGAGAGAAGGAAGGAAGGAAGGAAGGAAGGAAGGAAGGAAGGAAGGAAGGA